ATCTGGAGGAGGAGAAGGAGGACTTCACATCTTGTGAAGAACTCTAAGCGCTGTGGAGCCTAACAAACCCAGTGTGTGCCTTAAAAAGGATATAGGGGCCTGATCAACCTCTAGCCTCTCCCCGTCACCGCCTAATCCCTCGACGAACCCTTCCCTGCGCGCTTTCGTTCCACGGAGCCTAGCAAACTCCTGTGTGTATCCAGAGCTTTTTCCGAGTTATTTCAAGAGGCTCGAGTTTTTCTACAGGTCTTGTTCGTACGAGTTTTGTAACTGCAACTTAAGCAAAGTTTTCTCCTGCTTGCACCGCGACCATCTACGGTGTAAGTAAAATAATCTTTAATCAACCGCTAAGCGTCCGTGCCTAATTCTAGTCCGCCGGCCTGCATTCCCCGACCCACGTGCCAGGGCTGCTGGCCACAGCCCGCCGCGCGCCCCCGAAAGCCTCGGACCGCTCCCGGCCCGCACAGTAACCACCCCCATTTTGTGATGGTCACATCATCATGCACAGATCTAAGCCTGGAGGCGGAGGAGGGTGTTAGGCATGGCTGGTGAAAAGATTCTTTGAGATACCACCTAAATGTGGTCACCTGTCTGAGCTTTTCAATCTTGCATTGTGCCAGGGACAGCAGGATTCCTACTAACCACCTAATCTGTGCAGATGCCAGATTAGGGGTATCAAACTTTTCCATCCCTGTGCACTGTGCCCTGTGTGGATCTGATCAGACCCAGAGGCAGTGCTGGAGGCCAGATAGCAGGGCTCCACAGGCTAGATACAGACTGTGGGCCATATATCTGATACCCCAGTGTTAAATGTTTAAAAAAACCCCAACATTTAGAGCTTTTTTCCCATCAATTCGATTTGTAAAAATGTTTGTAAATTTATGTATTCAATACACATGCCTTCTCCTGGTTAAAGAGCAGTGCTAATTGCTTTCCATTAAACTACAGGATGATTTGAGAAACAGTCAGTGGCAGGGCGGGAGCACTGCAGTCTGACCTGAAGCACCACAACACTACACAGAGATTTTCTGCTGACAATCTAAAGGAGATGCACTTTCCTAAGGGCATTAAAGGTAGAAAAAGTATTAAGTTATGTCTAGAAGTGTTCCAAACTGAAGATGATACAGTAGCATACTAGACAGAATGATGAATATTTCTAATGGCTGAAAGCAGAATATAACAGACTAGTAGTATTTACTCAGGACTAAAGGAGTTGTTTCATTAGCTCCAATAGTAAGAGTTTATACTTTTAATCTTTCTATTCACTTCAGGGGGCTTTAAATCAGGCCCTTGATGTTGGAAGCCCTGGGTTCAACTCCACTGATGAGATACAGTGGCATGAATACATACATTTGTGCCAAACATTGGGAATTCTGCATGTGGTTCCACCTTTTGTGTGTTGAGCCCATGCTTAGTTAACTGCAATGATGGACATGCTTCTTTTTTGGACTGCTTAAGCACACAGGTATTTGGGTGGGTATCCAAACATCTGTATTCCAGAAATAAGCTTGAGAAGTTCATAACTTGAGATTTCCATTTCTTGGTTCAGCTGGGTCAGAAACACCAGTAGAACAGTGTCACTTGGTCTTTCTGCTTCTTTACACATTCAAGACTGTACAGCAGATTTGAGATGCAAACAAATATCCATATGGACTATATGGAAACCACCTCACTCATTTCATTTCTAACCTACACCATATTTGAACCCCCAGATCCATAGATAAAGGCTGATGTGTCTGGTTAGTGTCCTTCCTTCCCATCAAGGAATAATTAAGATGTCAAATTCTGTACATCAGTAACTGCCAACCTAAGGCAGAGTTACATGGAAATTATTAACATCTGCACAGAAATCAATAGCAAGCCTTTCATTTGCTCATGCTTCCATCAAAGCAAAACATAGACTGACAGGGGAAAGGGCAACAAAATACATTCTGACCATGTAGGTCTCCAGAGGATATGTAACCCATACAGCTATCAGCAACATACTGTGGCGTGGTCCTCTTAGAGAGTTATACATTATAAATATAGGACAAACGATGTCATCTGCACTATATCAAATAAAATGATTACGGA